AGGTTGTCTCCAGCCGCCCGAAGAGGAAACGTTGCGGCGGAGAGGAAAAAGGGAGAGGGGGAAATAAAATTTAAAACTTTGTCCCCGGCACGCGGGCCCGGCCCTGTCTCCCGTTTCCCGCGGGGCTGCGGCCGGGCAAGCGCCACAAGCAGCCCCCGAAGGAGGGGGCACGGGGCGGGTCCCAGCTATGGCCGCCCTGCCCCCCCGCTTCGGGCGGGGCGACGGGGGATGTTCCCCCCTCTGTCTTCGGCCCCGTGCATCCCCCGGGGGTCACCGGGACAGGAGGAGGCGGGGGTGGGCGCGGCGCTCCCCCGGCGCGGTTGCGATAGCGGCGGGCGGGGCGGCCCTCGGCTGCCGCGCAGGCAGAGCAGCGGCATCGACTGGCCGCGGCAACAAGGACAGCAGCGACGAAAAAGAAAAAAATGTTCAAAATAATGGCGGGGGTGCGGTCAGAGGGTACATCCCAACCCTACGTGACGGAGAAGCGGAGTGGATCCCGCCCGCCGCCTCCCTCCCCAGCTCCGGGGCTGCAGCCGCGCCCTGCCCCCGTCCCCCGCTCGGGGGGGTTTGGCTTGCGCCGGCTGCGGGGATAGGCGGGCTCCGGGAGGCGCCGCTATTTATTTTCCACCAAGATCACTGTTCGTGCTGGGGCAAAAAAAAAAAAAAAAAAAAAAAAAAAAAAAAAAAAAAAAAAATTAAAACATCCCGTTTTGGTTTGTTGGTGTTTTTTGGTTGGTTGGTTGTTTTTTTTTCCTAAATCTTCGCGATTGTTTTCCACGTTTAGCAGGCCGGATTGCGCAGGCCCGCCGGGGCGGCTGCAGTCCCTGTGCGTGGGGAAGGAGGGTGGGCACGGAGCGCGCCCGGGGCAGACGGCAGCGTGTCCAGCGATTCCTCGCAGCCGCCGCAGCGGGCAAGGGCAGCGCCGGCGCCGGCCGTACCCGCTCCGGCCCCTCTGCCTGGCCCTGCCCGAGTCGGGCACGACACTGAAGTGGGGCTGGCGGCCGGGGTCTCGCCCCCTCTCGCCGTCCCTCCCCGCGCCGGCCGGGCACAGCCCGGCGGTCTCCCGGAGGTTTCGGAGCGAAGGCGAGCCCGGGCGCGGCCGGCATAAACAACAGGATCGCGTTGCACCGGGGAGGAGGGTGGGCCCTGGCGAGCTCGCAGGGAGCTGTGCTCCCCTCCGCCCCGCGTTTTGTGTTCTTTTAAGTGTTTATTTATTCCTCCCGAGCCCTGGGGCTGAGAACGCTGCTCCTCCGCATCCCCAGGCACCGCGGGCATGCCCTCCTGCCCCCATGGTGCCAGCCCTCCACGTGTCCGGCGGCGCCCGGCCCCGCGTATCCCTGGCGGTGCCGGGGGCCGGCGGAGAGAGGCCGGTGCCTCCGCCAGCATCCGCCGGGCCCGGGGCGTGTGAGGCGCCATCTTTGAGAGCCACGAGCGGCCACCCGGGGAAGATGCCCCGGGCCTCCGGTCACCAGCGCGGGGCCAGCAGCGAGGGACGGAGGGACAAGCTCGGGAAAGCCCCGGGATACGCTGGCTCTCCGATGGCGGCCCGGGAGGCGCTCTTTTGGGCTCGAGTTTGAAGCCTTAGGAGTCAAGAGGACTAAGCGCAAGAAATACATCGAAATACCT